ATTTGGTTATAGTGCAACAGAGAATCCTTGAACATTTTCCTTTTTTAATTTTTACAGCACACTATTCACACAACGTTTACTTCTTCCCCAATGTGTTAATCTACATTGAAAAAATCATAAAGCTCTAAAACATTTTTATTTAGTAACCACAAAAGTTTATTTTCTTTCTCAATTATTTCTGATTATAATGTCACAAACTCCCGATCAAATGTCTTACCTATACTCCATGATTTTGAGACAAGACCCTAAAGTTCTTTTCAACCCTTTATTTCCAATATACAGAAAATCTTCATCTCGCACCAGAATCGGAATCAGAATTGAATCAAAACTGATGAAATTCTTAATTTATAGTTCCAATTTCCCTTTTTTATTAGAAAAAACCTCACCACCAGAAAAGTTACTCACGATATCATATGTAGGGGCTGTAGTATCTTCCAAATAGCTTTTAAACTACAATATAAGTTAATCTTGCTACACCTGAATCTAAAGTTTTAGTCAATATTAACCTACGTAGAGATCTATCAATCCTTGTAATAATGCAACTAAACTTTCCGTATTTCATTAAAAAAGTATCTAACTAAATTTAGCAGAATGTGAAAATTTAATGATTGATTGTACATTGAACATTGCTTTCTCATTTTTGACAAGCTTAGCTTACTTTCAAAACATATAGATGCAAAAATTAATTAATGTAATCAATTCAACAACACTTCCAAATTTAAATAATGAGCATAATTCCCAAGAATCTCACATAAATTTCATTAAAAACATATCTTCTTTGCAGATTATCAAGAACACTCAGCTCAATCAAGGAAGTTACTTTGGTCATGTCATCCACTCCTCCATGGTTCGTCTCTGTATCCCACAAATGCAATTTATCTAGCACCGCCAAAACCTATTCCAAAAATTCAAATTAAAACCAAAATCAACCCAATTCATTTTTTTGGCCAATTCGTAATCGATTGAGTGCTTGAATGATAGATTACATATGTATTTTTGTGGTCCCCGTCGGCGGTGGACATTTTCACACTGGTCGTCGATGACAACTTCGGTGGGCGAATCGAATGAGTAAGAGGCATGAGTTTAGGGGTTTTTTTTTTTGGGCGGTGGACGTTTTGAATGGGAGGAAATGATTTGTTTTTCTTGCTTTTGTTTTCTGTTTCACCATTTTTTTTAATTTCCAAAATTGACTGAAAGACCCTGCCATCTACATAGTTTTTGTACAATTTCTCATCTAGTCAAATCTCATTTAATGAAGGACATGTCAGGTATTTAAATTTTCTAGAAGGGCAAAATAATCCAAAATTAACAATTTTGCAAAGACTTTTAAAAAGTGACATTTTTGTAAATGTAAAGGCAAAAATTGACACCCAGTGCAATTTCCTCTTGATATTTTATACTTGGCTAGTAATAAAGGGCGAAAATAGTATTTGGAATAACGTACAATTGCATTTGAATCAGTCAATTATTGTGGGCATGTAAGGTGCTGGCAGATTTTCAATCAAAATAACAGCTGTAGAATCCACTTCAACGTTTCAAAAATCAATTATTATATTTTTTTTTTTTTTGAAAACAAGCGTTATTTAAACAATCATAAGCTATAAATCAATAAAATTGCAAGTTCAATTATTGATTTTCAATAGGTAATACGTAGATTCAACGATCTTAAATTATATCATTGAAGTGGGACTTGAATGGTTCAAAACACACGTGCACCATATTGGATTAGCTATAAATTTTGTTTCAACACACAGCGAGAATTTAGAAATTTTGAATTTGCTAATGGAAAATACGTTCACAATTTAGAACTGAATGGACATCAGTCTATGAAATGCTACACTTGGGTAAATTACAGTTCTCATAACTTCTTTTCACTTTAAATCTCAATTAGGTCACGGATCTTTAATTTGCTGCAGTCAAATCATCAATATTAATTTAATTTCAAATTTCATTAACGGATAATTTTACATGTACATTAAGGATAATTAAGTCACAGATCTTTAAAATGATTTATTTTGATGCTAATAATATTCACTTTTCCAGTTTAACGAAATCCAACAATTTACATCAACTAGTTAACTAGAATTCTTGAAGCAAAACATTGTTGACTTGAACAAGTTATTCAAATGGATTAAGCTCCTTTGTTAGAGAAATTATGATACGGGTTGAAAAAATCCTACGTATTTAAAAATGATTTAATGAAAAATATAAATGTGTTTTGAACTGTTTAATGATAGGGTGCCACGTGGCATTATATCGACTACTATGTCAATGGTTTTGACACTGTAGTATGATTGTACTGAAATTCATGTTCCAATCTCACCTTTATTTTTATGTTTTGAGGGGCTTAAAAATCTAACTTGAAATGAATGAAAAGAAATTAAATCTGTTATTAACTGAATTTAAAATTTAAAAGATCCATGTTGATGACCAAAAATGATATGTCAATTATAGAACAACTTGGGAGAAGTTTTGCAAGTAATAGTGTTTAATTTGCTAGAATATTGCATAGAAAAGAAAAACTTCTATTAGAATTTGTTTTTGTAGTTTGTTACAAAGGAATACTTAGCCCAATCCTTTTAGAGACCATTACCACTTTTTATAGGCCTTTCAACATGTGCTTGACACCCTCTATTTTGCCAAACTATAATACTTGACCTTATTTCGTGTCACCGTCCTATTCGAAGAGATTTAATTGAATGAAAAGTTGTTCTAGTTCGACCATCATTACTTTAAAGTCGTAGCCCGAGGTATATGTCAACATTACTTATGGCCTTGGCAATAGTTACTTTCTTATAATTGGTGGGCATGATGATACTACATCAAAGTGATATTTGTCTACTTTTATTGGTCATTGTAGAGGTGTTGGCGTAACTAAAGAACATTTCTTCCATTGATCATATAATGTTTCTAGATGATGACGATGTATCGTCATTCTTACTTGATGGGTCCCAAGGTTTGACCACTCATTTTGATTTAAAAGTTTCACAATTTAGTCCCTTTAATCACTTTCAATGTGGGTCCGAAGCAGAAGTTGAGATCGAACACCATCAATCCATTTGTCTAAGTTTATATAAACTACCATAATGAATTGAATATGAGTTGTATATTATAATATGGTCAAGTTGCATGGAAAAAGTAAAAGGTCGGTGCATTGCACCACCCACTGCTTTTAAAAAAAATAAAAAAAGGGGTAAAATCGTGTGTTGGTTATGGGTATTAAAATTGAGATGAAGATGATGAATTGTAAAGGAAGACCCTAAAGTTTGTTACACGTACTTTTAAATGGGTACTAAAAAATGGGTAATAAATTATTGCATGTACTATTATTTATAAAACAATTTAAATTTCGAATTTGTTTGTACATGAAAAATTCTTACCATTTTTCTAAAACAGTTGAAAGATCAAATATGCTAAAGCAGTTTATACGAGCTGGCCAGCCCACGGGGCAGCTCAAAGGATGAGCTAAGGAGCTGGTTTGCAAACCCCAACTTTAGGCGTTGGGTTCATCTCAACTCCACGTTCTTGGCTAAAAATTTGAATTCAACTTGGTCCGTGGCTTCGTGTTGGAACATGCCAAGGCTCCCATGGTCAAGCTTTCGAGAGCCGATGAGTTGACCAGACCCATTGTAAGCCCTAAGCCCATAACAAAAAAATCACGGAACCGAACCGAAATTACAATTTGACTCTATATGAACCCATCGATGTTTCGGTTCAAACTGAACCAAAAACATTTAGAAACTGTTCAATTTAAGTTTCATTGTCAAAAATCGTTTGAAACTGAATTAACCATCTACACTATTTTAGAAAATGAAATAAAAAATTATGTGACAAAAGTAAGTCCGTATTTATAAATGACATAAAATAAGTGTGATGATTAAATTTTGTCTGATTTTGATTAAAAATATTATCTGACATTCATTAAATTTTAGTAAGAAACATTTCGAGAATACTCTCAATTTATCTAATCAATATGAAGTTAATTTGTTGGTAGTAATCTAATCTTAAAACGATGGAGATTCCTCCTGTACATTTTTAACACTCGTGATCAGAATCGAGCTCAAAATTTTTGGTGCCCTCTGAGAAAATGTATAAGAGTGCCCCTCTTTATCTCTCACTTTCATGTGTAAAACGCCAAGTTTCATATCGATTAATTATTTGTTATTTATGTGAATTGATTTGAGTGTCAAAATGATGTGGATAGCTTTCAAATTCGTACCATGCTTGACGTCCATGATCACCGGCCCTCAATCTATACATCCAGGGCCCATGTGGCCCTGGACAAGGGGCTTTGCCCTTCAAATTCAATGGTATACATTTTTACATTGTTAACAAGGTGTGGTAACATTTTTATTTAGAAAGTCCATAAACGTTGTATTGGGATTTTAGTCTAACATATTTATGTTTTAACTTGTTTGAAAGTCATTACTTCTTTGTTGTTTTGTTAGATAAACCATGGTTTGTAACAAAGTCGAACTGCCAAAAAAAATTCAAAAAAAAAAAGATTGATTGGAGAAGTGAAATAATTTTGTTTGATTTTGGATTTGTCCAAATTGATTTAAGTAGTTTGTTTTGAAATTGCGTAAAAAATCGTTCAAATTGAATCATGTACAACCTTAAAATGAATATAAACAACTTTACTCTCGACAAAACGTATTTTAGGTGTAATTTTTGTTTGACAAGATAATCGAACAATATATAAATCTGAATTCATTTCATTAACTTTCATAAAATAGGATTGAACCAATTTCTCAAGTTATGCTATATGTACAAAGTGGGTTTACAAAATTAGTTGAAAAAGTAACATTTATACTTATCATTTCAAAAACAGATTTTTAAATATCTGAAAATCAATAACCTAAAATATACCAACACTTATTTCGTTAATTATATTATACAGCATAATACATTTCTTAATATTATTGCGAGAATTATTATTGTCTTGGTCTGTCCCCAAGTTGGTAGTATTTGTACGTTCCTACGATGTAAGCTTCAAAAAGGGCGCTGCTCTTCTTTCGCACAGTTTCATTTGACTAATCTCATGCCAATGGACCTTCTTTCATGGCTGCTTCTTGCTCTCTTCACCATTTCCACTGCTAATCCTTTTTCTTCAAATCAATCCCAAGAAGATGCATTATGGCTTCTGAATTTCAAAGATTCAATATTTCACGATCCCAACAATCTACTTCTCACCTGGAAAGCCTCAACTCATCCCTGCTCCGCCTCGGCCGCCGGCGGCGGCTGGTATGGGGTTTCATGTGATCCGCTTTCTGCTACCGTCGTCTCCCTCAACCTCACTGGAGGAGGTCTTGTCGGGGTGCTGCTACCTTCTATTGGTAATCTGACTAACCTTCAAGTTTTATCTCTCAATCGTAACTCGTTCTCCGGCCACATTCCGCCGGAGCTCGGAAAACTCAAGTCTTTACAGACTTTGAAACTTCAAGGGTGTAATTTCTCCGGGAGCATTCCCAATCAGATACGATTTCTTTCGTCTCTGCGCCTGCTTAATTTGTCTTATAATTCGCTTTCCGGTTCTATACCTAGTGGTTTGATTGGTTCAGGGAGGTTAAGTGTGATTGATTTGTCGAATAATCAACTCTCTGGGGATCTTAGTGTTAGCGATAATTGCGAGTTTTTGCAATGTCTGAAGCTATCTAACAATTTCTTGGTGAATGAAATTCCTCCTGAGATAGGAAAATGCTCCAATCTGAGGACCCTCTTGCTCGACGGAAACGTTTTCCAGGGTAGAATTCCGATTCAGATAGGCAAGATTTCTCAACTTAGGGTGCTGGATGTTTCTAGGAATAGTCTCACTGATAAAATTCCGCCTGAACTTGCCAATTGTCTCAAGCTTTCTGTTGTGATGCTCACCAATTTGGCTGATTTAGGCTCTTCATTTTACAACGTTGGTGCTAATGGAAGCGAGGGGTCTGTGCTGGACTTTTCGAGAGGGGAATTCAATGCCTTTAATGGAGGCATCCCTTCGGAGCTCTTGTTGCTTCCTAATCTTCAGATACTGTGGGCGCCAAGGGCTAATCTTGGCGGACAATTGCCCAGTAACTGGAGTAATCTTCGATCATGCTCTCTGAGAGTCCTTAATTTGGGGTCGAATAATATTACTGGTTCTGTGCCAGAGAGTTTGGGTGTCATTTGCAGAAATCTGACATTCTTGGATTTGAGTTCAAATGGACTGCAAGGACACCTTCCAAGGCAGCTCCGAGTACCATGTATGCTGTACTTCAACATTAGCCGGAATTCGTTGTCCGGTGCTCTTCCCCAATTCGAGAATAGGGGTGGCTGTGATTTTCGCATTGCAGACTATGGCCGAGATGGAACTAGTGTCTTAGATGAGGAAGACATTCAAAAAGTTTACTTCAATATCCCAGTGTGGGGCTATCAGATGAATGTGGATGCAGCTGTAGACTGTGATAGTGCTCTTGTTGTTGCTCATGATTTCAGCTGGAATGCTTTTGCTGGTCCATTGCCCCTCTTCTCAGTCGGAGAAGACTTTTTGCTCACTCGGGGTAGAGCCAGGTATAAGTTGTTTTTCAACAATAACAATTTTAATGGAACTTTTCCTACTGACCTAATTACAAACTGTAATGATCTCCATAGCCTTTCCCTTACTGTTAGTGCAAACCAGATAAATGGAGTTTTAGATGCCAAATTCTTTGGGTGCTTGAGAATAATTGACTTTGAAGCAGCAGAAAATCAGATTGATGGATCCATTCCCCCCGAGATTGGGAACTTGGAATTGCTCCAATATCTAGACCTGAGTAGCAACAGGTTATCTGGATCCCTGCCCTATCAATTAGGGGAACTGAAAAATGTAAAACAAATTCTTCTTGGAGAGAACAACCTGAGAGGAAAAATTCCTGCCAAATTTGGCCATTTAACTTCTCTTGAAACTTTGAATCTATCTTATAATGGGCTAACTAATTCCATCCCTGAAAGTCTGGCCTATGCCACGAGTCTTGAAATTTTGTTGCTGGATCACAACAATATATCGGGAGGGATCCCTTTGTCCCTTTCAACCCTTTCCCGACTTATTCAACTTAATCTATCTTTCAATAACCTTTCTGGTCCCATACCTCATTTTCAACGCATTACAGATTGCACTACCTTCAGGGGAAATAAATTTCTCCATTCGTGCCCCGATCAAGATTCAGCACCGCCTGCCAGGAGTCCTATCCCTCCTGAAATCCAAAAACCACAACAGGGCCGGAGAAAATTGAAATCTTTTGTCATTGCAATATGCACGTCTGTGCCTATTGTGCTCTGTGCTCTAGTGGTGACAGCTTTTTTCCTCATTGGAACGAAAAGGCTAAGAAGAGTTGCTAGCCTGCATAGGAATGTTGTAACAGCTTTTGCAGATGCACACCTGGAGTTGAATTATGATAACGTAGTTAGAGCAACTGGAAATTTTGGCATTGGCAACTTGATTGGAACTGGAGGCTTTGGATCAACGTACAAGGCAGAATTAGTCCCAGGCTTCCTTGTTGCAGTAAAGAAGCTTTCGATTGGTAGATTTCAAGGCATCCAGCAATTTGATGCAGAGATAAGAACACTTGGAAGAATCCGACACAAGAACCTGGTCACTCTTTTTGGATATTATGTTGGAGAAGATGAAATGTTTCTAGTCTACAACTTTCTTTCAGGTGGGAATCTTGAACATTTCATACATCAAAAATCAGGTATGAATAAGCATTGGCCTACCATTCACAAGATAGCCATGGACATTGCCCAGGCTCTCACTTTCCTTCACTATTCGTGTGTTCCACGTATAGTTCATCGCGATATTAAGCCTAGCAACATCCTGCTCGACGAGGAACTAAATGCCTACCTTTCAGATTTTGGGTTGGCCAGGCTTTTAGAAGTCTCGGATACACATGCCACTACTGATGTAGCAGGCACATTTGGGTATGTGGCTCCCGAATATGCAACCACTTGTCGTGTTTCGCACAAGGCAGATGTTTATAGCTATGGTGTTGTGCTCTTGGAACTGATGTCAGGGAAGAAGTCACTCGATCCATCCTTCTCTGAATGTGGGAATGGATTCACGGTTGTTGCATGGGCTAAGTTGATTATTGAGGATGGACGCTATTCTGAGTTCTTCTCTCCCGAGTTATGGGAATCGGGACCCCAGGAGAATTTGGTTGCCATGTTAAGGCTGGCATCAAGTTGCGCAGGGGAAACCCTTTCTGTTAGGCCATCAATGAAGCAGGTTCTTGAGAAGTTGAAGCAGTTACACTCTTGATGATAGGATGTCCTTCACCATTGTTAGGCCATCAATGAATGTGATTGTGCTTGGCTTTGTAGAAGATGAAAATATTCAGATAGATTGTCTGCACTTGAACATAATTTTTCATGATTTGGTCCTACCATTTCAGGATTTTATTTCTGTTTCTGAATCTCCATCAAGAAAATGTTACAAAGGCGCTTGCAGGAAATTGCCAGAGGACACACACTGAATCTGTGCATCTATATCATCCGTGTTACACACTCTAACAACTCTAAATGTGGGGAGGAATGACCTGCTGCAAAATGCATCGTACTTCCAAGTGAAAAATCTTATCGTGATTTTTGGCTTTTCTACAGAGATCAGTACAGAGTTCTGGTTGTCTGATAATCCTGTAAGGGATTGCAAGGTAGCAAGAAACATACTCTACTTCTTACTCATGTTTTCCCTAATACCAAGTTACCAACTTTCTAACGAATGTCACCCTTCTTGGCACATTACCAGATTGAAGCAGCAGACAACTAGCAAAATTGGTACAAAGCTTCCACATCCAAAGACAAATGGTAGGTTAGACAACCTACTGCCATCTTGAGGGAGATAAGAAGATATGTTCTACATTTTTGGTGCATTCTTCCAAATTTTCACAATTCTGAGTAGATGACGTGCAGAATATGCATTCATGATCATAGTTGGAGTGCTTTTTCCTTTTCAAGTGAAAAACTACAATACGATGTAATGATCATCTGCTGCAGTTTCATTTGCAGAAGTTTTTGCCTAATGTAATTTATAGCCTGCAAAAGCTCTAGAAAATTATATAATTCTTAATAAAAAAGGAGATGAAACACAAAAGCATTGAGCATCAAAATAAAAATTGGCCTTTTGTGTATTATATCAGAGATACATGGCAACAGTTTGGTTCTGCGTACGTACAACTTGCCAAATCTAGAGCTTTCATTGAGTTGAACACCAAAAAAAAAAAAAAAAAAAAAAAAAAAAAAAAAAAAAAAAAAAAAAAAACCACAAAAACCCTCACTGATTCCAAGATTTTAAGAACGGTTTAGCTATGTACGGTAATCCAGAATTTTGCTGTGGGATTTCCGTCCATCCAAGGTTATTGATCGTAAGTCCAGAAGCAGCCTCACGGCCACTCAAGGAGCGAAGTGGATTAGGTGATTGTTGTAACATGATGATGTTTGAGGGCATTCCCCACCCATCCCAGCGCAGTCTTCAGACTGGATAAACCGTTTCATTGAATCATTGGTGGCACCGCGTCGAAGTTCCTTACATTCAGTAACAATACTGTGTAGGCTCTGACCTGACTTGCTAACGCTGCTAGTGCCGTGGTTCAAACCAATGGCACCTTCAATGGCAGACGATCCTCCATGGCCTCCACTCTCACCTGGACACCGAATCTGACTCAATGCTCCATTCAAATGTGAGTTAGATGGGGCTGACATCAATGCTCCATTCAAATGGGAGTGAGATGGAGCTGACATGCATACAGTATTAACGGCCAGCAATCATCAACATTGACTGTCAAGTGCTCCTGCCTGGGGAAAATATACCGATCTCCATCAGAATACGAAGTGCCCCGAATGTTCTGATGCGTGTAAAGATCATCTAGCCTATTCTGCCTCAGATCCAGAGGAAGCGATAAATGAGTCTGTTCCCTGTTGATGATGATCCTGAATGAAAATGTTGTCAGAGTCATCAGAATCCGTGATATTTTCTCTATGATTATTTTTTTGCTTCTCAATTAAGATGATCCTGAATGAAAATGCGGGCAGAGTCATAAGCATCCGTTGTATTTTCTCTATCATTTTGTATTTGCTTCTCAATTAAGCAACCATTCTCACCCTGCTATAAAAAACCATAGTTAAGTGAATCAATTTAAAAAGCAGTTCTTTTTTCCTTCTCTCTTTCTATTTCCCTTTTCTTTTCTTTTTTTCGGAGTGGGGTGGCAGGTAAGAGGATCTATTAAAACTGTGTCATATGAAGTACAAAGTAATCAACTTTTTTCCTTCTCTCTCTCTCTCTCTCTTTTTTCCTCTAAAAAGAATGGTTTCTGTGCCTCAGGCACTAAAACGAAACAGAGGAGGGGCATCCATATCGATTGATCGTCAAATTTTGTCCGCAATGATTGTTAAATGCAATTCTCTTGGTTGCAATCTTTGAGTCTCCGATTTATCAACTAGCCATAAAAGCTACAGAGGCTTGAATTCAATTTGTTAGAAATAAACACAATTTGTTTGTTATAATCAAAACGTTAAGAATGAAGTCAACTAGAGGTTAACACCAGACACATCATTTTTCCATTTCAAGAAAAGTACCTAAAACTTTTTTGGAGAAATTATCAATCACAATCAACAAGTAATAAGCACCTCTTTTGGAAGGTACCCTAGCTACTCCCCAAAGATCTGAATGGATGTACCCAATTGTTCCTTTCGTGTTATGTCCTCCTTTAGTAAATTTGTCTTTTTTAGTTTTTCAAAGACATAATGCTCACAAAACATCATCTTACTAATCTTCTGCCATTAAGAAGTCCCCTCCTATTTAATTATGTCATACCATTCTCACTCATATGCTCAAACCGTGTATGCCAAAGTTTTGTAACTTCCTCATCAACCAAAGAATAAGTAGAAACTGCTGCATCTCCTATGACTGTAGTACACTACAAAATGTACAAATCTATAGAGGTTCTATATCTCATCATGACAACAATAGCACCCAAGTACACCTTCAAAACTCCACCTTTACCAAAAAATTTGTAACTCTTTAAGTCAAGTGTACTTAAAGATACGAGATTCTACTTTAGTTCTGAAACATGCCTTACATCTATAATTGTTCTAATAGCCCCATTGAACATACTGATAGTGACTGTACCAACTCTGACAATTTTGCAAGGCATGTTGTTTCCCAAAATCACCGTACCTCTCGAAACTTCTTCATATGTTGTAAACCAGTCACTATTAGGATACATAAAAACTACACACCGATTCAAGAACCTATTCTTCACAAGGTTTGGAACCCATGTTAGAAATCACAAAAAATTCTCCTTTACTTTGCCCATCTTCCATAACATCGACCTTTGCTGTATTTACATGTTGCTTTCCTTTATCAGTAATACTAACAGTCTTATTTCTATCTTTCATAGCATAGAAATAAGCTCTAGTATGCTCATTTTTCTTACGAAAGTGACATGTTCTCTCTACATGTCTCGATTTCGGTCTGACCCTTATATTTCTACCAAAATTTCCTTCTTAATTTCTTCTATGGAAAACCAAGCCTTCAACTTGGCCCTCAAATCCATTTGCAAGATGTTTCATCTTCCCTTCATAGACCTCATCCAAGATGATAGTATCATGATTATAGAGTATAATATCTCTAAAAGTTACACGTGATGGTAGCAACGAACACAACATCAACGTCAAGTCTTCTTTTATCATACTTTTCTTTCAATGTCTCCAAATTAGTCACAACTTCTTTGAATATAGTTAAGTGATCATCCAATAGTGTACCTTCGAACATCTTGTGAGGATACAAGCACTTCTTCAAGTATAACTTACTGGTCAAGCTCTTTTTTATACAAAGCTACTCTAACTTCAGCCACAGGGCAACAATACTTTTTCCTTTAGAACATCCTGAAGAATTTGATTTGATAGACATAAATTTGTGATTGGACTTTTCGATCCCTATGTTGCTTTTTATCTTGCGTCCAGGTTAAAGGCATCTTGTCAAAGCCTAGCAAACTTCCTTTGAATCCATCTATGTGAGAGTCACTCACATCTTCGCCTACCATAGAGTAAATCTCATGTTGCAGTCCAACAATGGATTATCGTATTTCATCATTATCATGCAAAATATCAATCTCGCTCTAATACTAGTTTGTTGTGAATTGATCACAAAATAATGACAATAACGAAATAAACAAACAAAAGACAAGAACTCCAAGATCTATGTGAAAACCCAAGATAGGAAAAATCACAAGCAGATGAGGAAAATTTTACTGTAGTCAATAATGAATGTGTTTATAACAAGATCGCAATACTCACAATTAAGATCTAAAACTTTCAAGATGTTGCATGAATATTACGACCTCAATACAAGTCGTTGAGAATATATATGAACCTTAAATTCTAAACTGTAGATGAATATGAGTCTAGAAAATGCGTTAAAATATGAAACGAGCTTGGGTTGGGTAAACACGTTGCTCAAGCGCTAGGCGAACGGCAATCTGAAGCTGGCAACTAGGTAGGCGTCAAGTCTTTGTTAAGATTGAGAAGGTAAAATTATGGCGATTTTTCTTCTCGGTCCATAATTTTATCTCTTCAAGATCACCTCAAGCAAAACTCCATTACCAACTAGAATTTGGGTCAAACTGCAACATAAAAATATTATTATTCTTCTGCTCTCATATTTTAGGAAAATCAACGATGCCATTCTTTCATTTGTGATATTATTTAACTCTTTTTTTTTTTTCCCATTTGTTTGATCACTTTTAAGTGAATTAATTTGCAATTTTCTTTTGGATTCAGATGTATTTTTATTCCCCTTTTTTTGGTTGAATTTCCAGGCTTATAATGTTGTGATTGTTTATATGATTTATGGTTGTGTATAATGGTTGTAGATATCCAAGGTGAATAGTCATAAGTGATAATGAATTGTAGTTAAATTTTGATTAAAAAATTGAAATGTTATATATACTTTAATTCGGTTTGATTTCAATACTTATATGAATTTTCATGTGAGCCTAATTCTTCTTTTTTACTTCCTGATAAATATGTTCGATACATTTATTTTGGAATTCTATACTTGATTAAATGTTCTTAGTTTAAATTAAAATAAGTTAATTAGGTAAAGTCCGGACTTGAATGCATTTGGATGTAATTGGCACGAAATGTGAAATTGAAGCTTAAATTGGAGTTGATTTGATGCAATCAAATTACATTGATCAATTAGAAGACTTATGAGAGCAATCGAAGATGTTTCAGAAGCTACATGAGTTAAATCCATCATTTGGAAAGTTTGGAGGCTTAGTTGTAAATTTTCAAAACTTTCATCACATCAATTAAAGATGATTGAGGAATAACGAGGACTAAATTGTACAGATTCAAAAATTAAGGGCCAATGTTGCAAATAAGGGAGGACTCAAGATTAAAGCAGAAGATATTCAGGGACCTAAAGGACAAAGGAAATATTTTGTGTCCTGTGAGAGAGAATAGCCAAAGGAGAAGCCACTAATATAGTTTTTACAATGCTTTGAGAAGCTTTTATACAAAACAACAATTCTACATTTTATCATACGTTATTGCTCGGAGTTGAAGAAGAAGGAAGCATCCAAGGATATAATTCAAGAATTGAAGGAATTTAAGATTCAAGATTGCTTTCGTCTTTCTTCCTAAACCACCACTTTTAGGTCGTGTTGTATCGATTCAATTTATGTTTTTGTTATCTTATGATGTTATGAAATTTTGATATTAAATTCTATATTTTGACATTTAAATATGTTTTTTTAGTTTTAGTAGTTGTTAGGAGTTTAATACTTTTTGGTTAATTGGCCACCAATTGTATCGATATATGATTTATATTGACATTCAGAAGAAGGAATAATAATTTATCACAAGTAGCAATTATTGTATGATTCTATAGACGTTAGAACTCAATATCTATGCACTGCATGATCCAATTAATGTTCTTGTGATTTAATACATCTTTACATTTTCGCATTCAGAATATGGATATTACTAGATCATGGATGAGGATATGTTTGATTCTAGAAAGACTATTAAACATGATAGGAACACTGATCTCCAAGTTCAATAAACGTTGTCAAATTATAGAATTAATAT